AGAAAAGATAGGGAAAAGTAAGTGATAGATAGATAGATAGATAGATAGATAGATAGATAGATAGATATATTCGATAAAAGGGGAAGGTAGGTAAGTAAAAAAAAAAAAAACGCATCTACAGAGAAAGTAAGAGTTAAAAAAGAAGGAAGGAAACCGAGAAAGAAAGATAGCTAGAAAAGATACAGGGAGAAAGAGACAGAAAACCAGGAGCAGGAAAGACACACACACACACACACACACACACACACACACACACACACACACACACACACACACACACACACATATTTATTTATACACATATATACATATATATATATATATATATATATATATATATATATATATATATATATATATATATATGTAAAAAGAGAGAGAGAGAGAGAGAGAAATTAAGAGAGCAAAGAGAAGGGAACCAGGAAATATATTATATATATATATATATATATATATATATATATATATATATATATATATATATATATATATATATATATATATGTGTGTGTGTGTGTGTGTGTGGGAAATTGTAAAAAGAGAGAAAGAGAGACAGACAGACAGACAGACAGAAATTAAGAGCGCAAAGGGAAGGGAACAGGAAATATATTGTATATATATATATATATATATATATATATATATATATATAGAATTAGAGAGAGAGAGAGAGACGTGCTTGGAAACGGAGTGAAATCAAGAGATTTATAGAAAGAAAAGATTAGAAAGAGATAGATAGATAGATAGATAGATAGATAGATAGATAGATAGATAGATAGATATATAGATAGATAGATAGATAATCATTAAACTGACAGATAGATAGATAGATAGATAGATAGATAGATAATCATTAAACTGACAGATAGATCGATAGATAGATAATCATTAAACTGACAGATAGATAGATAGATAGATAGATAGATAGATAGATAGATAGATAGACAGGTAAAGAGGAACATAAATAGAGAGAGAGTTAAAAGGTTGGAAAGCAGGAAGAGATAGGTAAAGAACGAGAAAAAGAGGAAAGGCTAGGAAAGCAAGAAAGAAAGAGAGAGAGAGAAAGAGCGGGAGAAAAGAGGGAAGCAGGAAATAGACAATATATAGTGAGAGTCAGAGAGAGAAAGGGAAGGGAAAGTAAAGATAGATACATACATATATATATATATATATATATATATATATATATATATATATATATATATATGGGAGAGAGAGAGTGGAAAGAAAATATTATCTGTAGATATAAATATATTGGCAAGGAGCTAAGTGTTGGAAAGCTTTAATTAAAGAAATTTCTCGCCCTTAACACAGGCATAACCATTGATAGCAGCCACAGGAAATGTTTTCAGACAGCGGAACTTAGACGCCTTTCAGGCTAGCAGCTAAAAAGATGATGAAGAGTGCCACGTCTGTCAGCTTGGCACTAAGCCCCGTTCTCGATGGAGCAGCTGTGTGGTCAATGGTCCGTTTTGATTACAGGCTTCAACAATTAATAATAGTTTTTTTTTTTAAGATGTCCCTATCATTTTTCTAAAGGAAGGAAATACTGTTCGATGTGCACACGCGTACTCTCTATACTCCCCCCACACACACACACAACGACGTACAGTTCATATGATCTTTGGTCATAAAGGTTGAAATCTCCAATGCTCTTGATCTCTACCGGTTGAAATCCCGAAAAACCATACCAAATGGTTGATATCCTGCAAATTTAATTCAGAACTAGTTAAGCTACAGTTTTAAAAAGACATTTGTTTCAGCTATATACAAAAACACATTTATTTTTTTAAGTCTACGATAAGAAAAAAAATTATTACAAAAGAAGATTATGAATAATTTTTACGATTATAATATTTCTGCTTTTCTTACATTAGGTAGTAAGTTCGGTAACCCGCGCTGCCATTACCTCAGATAAATAATAGACCAATCTGTTCTGAATGCGAATAAAGACGGATGAAAAAGATGCGGTTTCATTTTAGTGAGAGAAAAAAAAAACATAGATGATAATAAAGAAGAAAGAAAGAATGAATGAAAGAAAGGAAGATTAATAATAAGAAAGAAATAAAGAAAGAAAGGTAAGATGAATACGAAAGAACGAAAGAAAGAAAGAAAGAGAGAAGGGAAGAGTAATAATACGAAAGAAAGAAAGAAAGAAAGAAAGAAGGGAAGATAATAATAAGAAAGAAAGACGGAAGATTTTTAATAAGAAAGAAGGGAAAATTAATAATAAGAAAGAAAGAAAGAAAGAAAGAAAGAAAGAAAGAAAGGTAAGATGAATACGAAAGAAAGAAAGAAAGAGAGAAGGGAAGAGTAATAATACGAAAAAAGAAAGAAAGAGGGGAAGATTAATAATAAGAAAGAAAGAAAGAAAGAGGGGAAGATTAATAATAAGAAAGAAAGAAAGAAAGAGGGGAAGATTAATAATAAGAAAGAAAGAAAGAAAGAAAGAAAGAAAAGGAAAGAAAATTTCTAAGTTGGTTTTAAAGAAAGAAACCATTTAAAACAAGGATGTCAAAAACATGTGAACCCAATAAAATGTTTAGATAAAAAAGAAAAGTCAATTAAAGAACATAATTTGAAATGTAAGAAAGAAGATATCAGAAAACATCTTGGAATTAAAATGTTAACAGGAAATGGGTAAATTGAATCACCAAAGAAAGATTTTTAATTTTGCAGAGAAGGGATTTTTATTTTGTCAACTGCAAAGTAAGTAAGGTCAGGGGCCAAGATTAGAAAAAAAAGAAAGATGCAATTCAAAGAAAAAAAAACAGAATGCTGTACTGCTTGGATTTGTGCCAAAATCTCCAAAAGAAAAAATTCAGAAAGTTTGAAAGAAAGAAAGGACAGGAAGATTAATAATCAGAAAGAAAGAAAGAAAGAAAGGGGAAGATTAATAAAAAGGGTCAAAAAGAAAGAAAGAAAGGAAGAAAGGAGAAAGAAAATTGGAAAGAAAGAAAAAGAAAGAAAGAAAGAAGGAAGATAATAATAAGAAAGAAAAGACGGAAGATTTTAATAATTTTTAATGGAAAAATTAATAATAAGAAAGAAATGAAAAAGAAAGGTGCATAATAGCATGGTAAGATGAATCAAGAAAGAAAGTTTTCACTTCTGAGAAGGGGAGAGGTGTATTAGAAATTGAAACGAAAGAAAAGTGTAGATTAATTTTGCCTAGAAAGAAAGAAAGAAAGAAAGAAAGAGGGTGAATCCAACCAATTTTAAGAAAGAAAGAAAGAAATCATGGTGTTTAAAGAATTGGAAGATTAATCCTTACAAAAGAAAGGCCTCAGAAAGAAAGAAAGAAAGAAATCAAGAAAGTCTTGAAGAAGTAGTGCCATCATGGATCAAGAAAGAAAGAAAGAAAGAAAGTTTGGCAACAGGGGAAGATGACCATAATAAGAAAGAAAGAAAGAAAGTCATGGCTGTCAAGGCAAGAAAGAAACCAAAAAGAAAGAAAGAAAGAAAGAAAGAGACTGAAACCCCATTGATTAATTAAAGCGAGGCACAAAAAAAGAAAAACCAACAAAACTTTTAATAAGAAAGAAGGAAAAAGGCAATGATTAAGAAAGATTCATCAAAGAGAAATCCAGAAGAAAGAAAGGAAAATGAAAGAAAGAAAGAAAGAAAGAAGGAAGAGTGATTTTAAGAAATAAACTTATTTTTTGAAAGAAAGAAAAATATATAAAAAATAAGATGTCAAGTTATTTTATTTTTAAAGAAAATTTAGAAATTTAAAGATTGAACCCTGTAAAGAAAGAAAGTTTCATTCTGGGAAGATGAATTTAAATTTTAAAGAAATCTTGAGAAGGGAAGAGGTTTTGAAAATTTTTGATTATGGAAGAATAATAAGGAAGAAAAGAAAACCCAAGAAAGAGGGAAGATTAATAATAAGAAATGAAAGAAAGAAAAAAGGAAGAAAGAAAGAAAAGAGGAAGATTAATAATTTCAGAAAGATTTCAAAAAAGAAATGTCTGAGGTGAATACAAAGAAGAAAATTTCAAAGTGGAATATTTATATAAGAGTATAGTACAAAAAAAGAAAGAAAACAAAGAAAAAGAGGAAAGAAAGAAAGTCTCAAAGGAAGACCTAGTAACCTAAAAGAAAAGAATTTGAAGATACTAAAAAAGAAAGAAGGAATTAAAAATAATAATTTTAATAAGAAATACTTTTATTAAAGAGTGAAGATAATTAGTCCAAATTGTTGAAATTTAAAATGTAAAAAAAAAATGAAGAATACGAAAAAGAAAGAAATGAAATATTTAATATATTTAGATTTAAAGAAATTTGAAAGAGGGACTATCCATCTATTTGAAAAAGAAAGAAAGAAAAAAGAAAGAGGGAAGATTAATAATAAGAAAGAAAGAAAGAAAGAATATAGATATATATAAATATAAGAAATAAATAAAGAAAATTATCCGCTAAAAAGAAAGAAAGAAGGAAAATAATAATAATAGAAAGAAAGACGGAAGATTTTGAATAAGAAAGAAGGGAAATTAATAATTTTAGAAAGTTCCTTAAGAAAGAAAGGTAAGATTTTTTTTTTTACTTGAAAGAAAGAAAGAAAGAAACTAAATTTAAGAAAGAAAGAAAGAAAGAAAGAAATTAGAGGGGAAGGAAGATTAATAATACTTAAAAAGAAAGAAAGAGGGACGGGTTCCATTAATAATGTGAAAGAAAGAAAGAAAGAAAAGGAAAAGAGGAACTCAAGGGATGATTAATAAGAAGAAATAAAAAAAAAGAAAGAATGGAAGATAAAAAAAAAAAATGAAAATCAAGAACACTAAAAAGAAAAAAGGAAAATTTTAATAATAAAATTAAGAAAAAAGACAAAATTAATAATCTACAAAGAAAGAAAAAAAGAAGGGAAAATTAATAATAATAAAGAAGCAAAGAGAGAATTATAGCAAGAAAGAAGAGAAGATCAAAGAGGCAATAGTGCTCTCATACTTTTAATGTCTGCTTCAGTGAAATGAAAAATCTTGTCTTTTAATTTGTAACTTTTTACTTCTTTAAATAATGAGCAGCATTCGTATTTACGTAGGTGCCTAAAAAGAGCGATACCTACGGTTTAAAATTAATTTTTTTACAAGCGAAAAATCTTGAAAGTTTTATTTAATTTTAATTCCAAGCTAATAGCTTATATTTAATATTTCCAACAACCAAAATACATGTATTAGCTGTATTTCAAATGGAATTTGAATTGATTGGAAATATTTCTTTTTTATTGATAGTATAATCTATGAAATCATTCATATTGACAAAACTGTCAACACAACATAATTCTATTTATTAAAAAAAAATCTTTCCAAAATAAAATATTCTTTTCTCAAAGGTTATTTTAAAAAAATAACTGATTTAATATTTGATTTATCTAAATTGAAACAAATATTACTTTTAATATAACATATCACAGAAAAACATTTTTTTAACACGGATGTTTTTTGACGTGTTAAATGATGTATTGACAACCTGATATTTGTGAAATTTAAGTAAGAAAGAAATCTGTCTATATTTCTGAGATAAGGTATTATGTACACTATTTACATTATTCGGACTATTGTCCTCATCTTTGTCGTCATGTTTACTACAACGTTTCGGCCGTTGTACGCCCCGGCCTTTTTCAGGTATTTGGAATTCGAACTGAACCCTTTATTTCGCTCACTCAATATCCACTGTTATAGTTCCACGTGCCATGTTTAATGGATGTTGAGTTATCAAGGACACATGGCAAATAGATAAAGGCGTTGGTTAAATCCATGACAGGACCCAAAGAGTATGAGTACAATACCCGGTTAAAATATATGGAGAATCTTGCAGAGGTGAATTAACCCCCGATAACTGAACTGACATCCATTAAACATGGCACGTGGAACTAGAACATCTATATAGTTTTTAAATAAAGGGTTGAGTTTTTCCAAATATAACTTTGTATGAAGGCCGGAGCGTACAACGGCCGAAACGTTGTAATAAATATGGCGACAAAAATGAGGACAATTGTCCGAATAATGTAAAGAACGGAATCATTGAAATAAAATTACATGACGAATACAACGTAAACACATTTTATGTCATTTTTTAACTACTCCGTAATTTTAAAAATGTAAGATATTTTAATCATTCTATCTTTTGAAGAATAATGCCCTAATCCTTATTCTAATCCTAAGTGTGTTTAACAAGTAGAACGCCTACAGATAATGATATTTAATACATTTTCTATTTGCTACAAGATAACCAAAAAAGTTCTGTCCGCTTTTTGATTAGTCATTGAATGAAGTTGAAATATATACGAAATGCGTGTAGCAATTGTTTTCAAATTCGGACAGCCGGAAGTAGGAACATCAGACGTTATAAAAAACACGTGCACCTTGTCCGGCCAATTAGTTATAAGCCGGAGAGCTGTGAGAAGGATAGAAATGTCTAAAGATCTCGTTCAATTTTGTTTGGCTTACGACTTTAAAGTTCTAATTATCAGCAGCTGCATCAAGTCGCCGCATATGTCAAGCGTTTTCATAGTGCTGTGGATGAATGTATCCCTGCCAAGGCGTTGGTTTTGAAAAATTCATCTCGGGAGATTTGTCTCTATATGAACCTCGGATATGGACGACCACAGGTCTTGAATGACGAAGTCCTGAAGGCGGCCATTGAAGAGGACAGTTAGTTCAAAATTTGAACTTGCAATACAGTTCAACGTTTCCGATGAAAACAACATTTCATTTTATTTTAATTTTGCCTAGGTAAGACGTACAAACTGAGCAAATGGGTTCCGTAAACGCTGTTGGAATGAAAATATTGACAACGAGTGGCAGCCTGCGTATCGCTGCTTTCTCGCCACCGTACCGCATCCTTAATCAATCGAGTGCTTACCAGTGATGAAAAAACCCCACACTACGAAAATCCCAAGCGTTCCAGACATTGGTTGTCTCCTCAGGATGCTGTCCCTCACACTGCAAGACCGCCTATGCACCCACGCAGGATTATGCTTTATGTCTGGTGGACAGGTCGTCAAGTGGTTCATTATGAACTGCTACCTACGGGCCAAACGGTCACTGGCGACCTATGCTCGCAGCAATTGAAACATGTGCAACAGGCATTGCGCCAGAAGGAGCCAGTACTGGTGAATCGCAAAGGTGTGCTTTTCCTCCATGACAACGCCAGGCCGCATGTCGCACGAGTGGTCAGGGATACCATACAGTAACTTGGGTGGGAGACTTTGTGCCATCCACCTTATTCACCTGACATTGCGCCATCTGATTACCACCTCTTCCACTCCCTGGATAATCATCTTCATGGGAAATCCTTCACCAATGAAGCAGACTTGCGCAAAGCCCTCACGGACTTCTTTGCGTCAAAACCCCCTGAGTTCTACCGCAAGGGCATTGAACAGCTGGTGACACGTTGGCAGAAGGTGCAGGATACCGATGGCGATTACTTTGAAGACTAAATATTAGTTACATATACTGTGAAGCGTTTTCTTTTTTTCCTTTAAAAACGGACAGAACT